ATGTAACGTTATCATCATCATCATCATCATCATCATCATCATCATCATCATCATCATCATCATCATCATCATCATCATCATCATCATCATCATCAAAATCAAGGTATATCCACATTTGTATTTATTGTAATGACTTTTGAAGATGGTTTCGTTATGGATTTTTTGTATGCATGCATGTGTGTGTGAGGGGGGTATATACGCTTGGTTCTGCTGGCTTTCACATCATCATCATCATCATCATCATCATCATCATCATCATCATCACCATCGTCATCATCACCATCATCGTCATCATCATCATCATCCTCATCATGACCCCGGTTCGAATCTCTAGTAGGACGTTTTCCAATTTGCGCTATTTAGGTGGGTGGTTGACGGGTGCTCTGGTGTAGTCTATTTCTCCTTTCCTATCAAACATAATCTGTCTTCTGTATGTATCTTTTCTCCGACTTATCTTTGTATATTATTTATCTCTAATAATACCTCTGATCTTCGTCGGCACTTATCCATTATCTATTTGTGGTGGCCGAATTTTGCTATTCAAAAGGATTTTTAATGGCTGCATCGATCGACTTGCGGTTTTCGCCCTCTTAAAATATTCTCCTGATCGTTACGCCCTTCGTTTATTCAGTTTTGAGACAGTTTTGCTGCAAAAAGCTAAATTTCTTTATTCCGCCGATCGCTTTTGTAGGCCAACGCTTTTGTCTCTGTAATTTTAGAAAATCCGCAAGGTTTGTTTATTTCAAGTCGTACTTCCGTTCGATTCTATTGCGCATTGTCGCGCAATACTGGACACTATTTTAAGTGTGCGACCCGTAAGGATCTAGCCTCATGTTTCCTTTTTTTACCGATGATTTTCAGTTGATATTAATGCACCGATCATTCTTTCATCGAAAGGGGACCCAGCTAGTGTAACCTATTTGTGTTGCAAGTGCCGTAAAACTCGTACTAAACCTTTGTTTAAAAGCGTTGTTTGAGAAGTTTCATAACCCTTCACTCCTTTGACTCACCCGTATAGGAGAAGTACGCTAACTGAAATTTCCTTTTTTTTAAACAAGCAGAGTTAAAAGACTCTGGGATACAGAGAGCATCGTTGCAGCCTGTTACACCCACACACGCGTTCATCCACATGAGTTGCATTCCGTCTCTACCACTAAAGTAACCATTAGTCTATGGGTGGTTGGCGGGTGCTCTTGTGTGGTTTGCTCCTTCTTTCCTATCAAACATGTATCGTACTGATCTCTCCTCCTTCTTTTTTATGTTTGTTGCTCTCTTGTAACACCTCTAATCTTCGGCACTTATATGACCTTATTGTGTTGCAAGTGCTGTAAAACTCTTACTAAAACTAAACGTCTATGGTTAACTGAGATTTCTGTCCTGAAGATACAAGGTCCTACCCAGGAGAGTCGGGAATCGAATCGAATCCTCCACTATTTTTTTGTTTTCATTTGTGGGTACCGAGCGTCTGGTTGTTGACCCAAGGCCTTACATTTGGGCCTTGATACTTTGGTATCTACCTTTGAGGACACGTTCCCAAATGTTTAGTGGCACGACGGAATATTCCGAACTGAAACTGTAACAGACCTCTTGACCCATGAAGATACTAGTAGAAAATACCAAAACCCCATTATCCCCACCCTCTGCATCCCCCCACCCCTCCCCCCAAATATCCACCCCC